TTTTCTTGGCCATTATTCTCTTTGGTTTTGAAGAGAGTTCATGAGGGCTTGAAGGATGTTACATCCTATCTTGCCCTTGAGTATACTTTGTGTCTTCTTTGCACTGTCCATTCCCTTCCCTTCCCTCCCTCCCTTCCTCCCTGTTGTGATAGTTCTTTATTAACAATGGGAACTGGAATCCTGTGTGGCATGTTATAACAAGCTATTTACTTCAAAAAATTACTTAACGCACTAACATTGTAGCTGTTCTCTTTGGTGTAGAGTTTCACCTGTGAGCTTTGAGCTTGAAGCTGCCTTGAAGTTGGCAAGATACTTGTGCAGGTGAGTCTCCCACGTGCTTTATTAACAGTTCCTCATACAATGATATGAGGTTGAGGTTGTGTCAAAGTATATATTCTATTTATAGTGAAGTCATCCGGTGTCTTCATTTATCAGGCAAGAACTTGCCAAGGAGGTCTCAGATTTGTTAATGGGAGCTGCAGATGGTGCCAAGGCTCTGATTGATGCCAGTGACCGGCTCTTACTATATATTGAAATCGCAAGACTTTTTGGTACACTTGGTTATAAGCGCAAGGCGGCCTTTTTTTCAAGACAAGTTGCACAGTTGTACCTTCAGCAAGACAATGCATATGCTGCTATGAGTGCTATGCAGGTTCTAACTATGACTACAAATGCATACCATGTCCAAAGCCGAAAGACTATGAAAATGAATCATGATTTGTCCAAGGTGAGATCACAAAGTAGCTGTGCACTTGCAGCATATTGAGAATCAATCATCAATTCATCGTGCATAAATATACTAAATATTGTTGGATTCATGTTTCATTTGCAATGCTTATGTTCTTAAGAAACCTCATGCTGGCAATACTGATTCTGGAAAGGTGCACCCTCAGTCTATAGTGTCATTGTTTGAGTCACAATGGAGTACCCTCCAAATGGTGGTTCTAAGAGAAATATTGATGTCATCAATCCGGGCCGCTGATCCACTCTCATCATGGAGCGCTGCAGCTCGACTTCTTCGATCCTTTTACCCACTCATCACATCAACTGGTCAGAGTGGCCTAGCAAGCTCACTTGCAAACTCTGCTGACAAGCTTCCAACAGGCACACGCTGTGCCGATCCATGTCTTCCTTTTATCAGGTATGCTTAAGCTCATCATTATTATCTTATTGTTATATTTGAGAGAAAAAGAGAATAAATACTGTCGGAACTACTTTTAAGACTGAAAGATGCTCATGGCAAAATTAATCTTTACTATCTTCTGGGATTTTTTTATCTTATGTTATTTTTCCAGGTTGCATTCTTTCCCGCTTCACCCTTCTCAAAGGGATATAGTAAAGCGGAATCCACATAAAAAGGAGTGGTGGACCGGTGCAGGTCCTTCAGGACCTTTCATTTATACTCCTTTCAGCAAAGCAGGAGGTTCTGGGACTTCCAAGCAAGAGGTTAGTTGGATTGTGGGGGAGCCGGTTCAAGTCATGGTTGAGTTAGCAAACCCTTGCAGCTTCAACCTAGTTGTGGAGAGCATCTATCTCTCTGTCCATTCTGGGAATTTTGATGCCTTTCCAGTTAGTGTTAGTCTTCCACCTAACACTTCAAAATTAGTTTTATTATCTGGTATTCCAACAAAAGTCGGACAAATATCAATTCCTGGGTGCATTGTTCATTGCTTTGGTGTTATTACAGAACACCTATTCAAAGAGGTCGATTGTTTGCTCCTTGGAGCTGCACAAGGGCTTGTCCTTTCTGATCCTTTCAGATGCTGTGGCTCTAGCAAGTTTAAGAGTGTCAACTTTCCTAGCATTTCTGTTGTTCCTCCTCTGCCATTGTTAGTTGCCAATGTTGTGGGTGGAGATGGTTCTATTCTTCTTTATGAAGGAGAAATTCGTGATGTTCTGATAACACTGACAAATGCCGGAACCGTACCAGTTGAAGAAGCAAATGTTGCATTGTCAGGGAAGAATCAGGATTCTGTTATTTCGATTGCCCATAGCACATGGAAATCTGCGCTCCCTATTAAACCGGGTGGAGAAGTGACATTTGCAGTAACTCTAAGAGCCTGGCATCTCAACTCAGCAGATTTGGAAACAGATGGCAGTAGATCTCCTGCAAATTCAAGGAGAATAGCAAGAGAAGGAATCAATCCATTCTTGGATATTCACTATGCTGGTAGGTCATCAGTTTCACATTCTTTTATTCTCTGTCATCCTTTAATATTCAACTTCTCTCATAATCTATATTTACATTCAATGCTGAAATCTGTAGTTCTGTTAATGTACCTATTACAATTAGACATTTGCAAATATTTGTTAATCCCTCCTGTTGTGAATTAGTGCCTCTATATTTTCATATTTTTATTAGTATATCTGAAGCATAGATAGCAATAGTTGTTTTCAGTTTAACAGTTGCCTTCTTTCTGTTTGGATGCTATTCACATGGTGCTAGTAAGCGGCAATTCTTAATGATCTCTGCTTCATGGGTGTTCCTATCGTTCTCTTGGTCTTGCACCTGGCCCCTTTTGTTCTTTCATCCTGGACAAATTGGCTTTCTATTTTTCTAGCCCATGGACATTTTTTGCTGTAGGTGTTCTTTGTTGTGATTAATGCTTTGAAACAGCCAACCTGATTACACCTTAGTCTGTCTTTGGTTACTGCTAGGCAATATTCTTCTGAGCTTTGCACATTATAAATTTGTATATGATGTACATGCATGGATGCACCCCTTGTCACATAGGCAAAAGTATTGTCATTATGTAGCTTGAAGACTAAATTTGTATATTGCACTTCAGGTCCTGCTGCGAATCTTGAGAATGGAGATGTTTCACTTCCACCTGGAAGACGCCTGGTTGTTCCCTTGAATATCTGTGTTGTGCAGGGCATGCGTCTTGTAAGAGCACGCCTTTTGTCCATGGAAATACCTGCTCGATTTACTGAAACACGCTTAAAACCTGTCAGTGGCAAAGACATTAACTTATTGAAGATCGATCCCTATAAAGGAAGCTGGGGGCTCCGCCTTCTGGAACTTGAGCTTTTTAATCCTACTGATGTCGTTTTTGATGTTGATGTTGCTGTACATTTGGATGACGCGGATGTGGATCAAGAAGTAATTTCAGAGGGCAATGCTGCTTGTCACAAAACTAGAATTGATCGCGACTACTCTGCCAGAGTTCTCATACCTCTTGAGAACTTCAAATTGCCTGTTCTTGATGCTTCCTTCTTTGTAAAGGAAAGTAGTAGTGATGAACCTCTTGGATCCAGGGCTGCCGCCATAGCAGAAAGGAATGCCAAGGCAGAGCTAAATGCGTCTATCAACAACTTGATTTCAAAAATAAAAGTGAAATGGCACTCTGGGAGAAATAGCTCAGGTGAGCTGAATATTAAAGATGCTATCCAGGCGGCATTACAAGCATCTATAATGGACATACTGTTGCCAGATCCTCTGACATTTAGCTTTAAGCTTGCTAAGAATGGAGCTGTGATCAATGATGATTCTTCAAAGGATTCTGGCAGTATTCTGAGGTGCAAAGATCCTATATCTGCTCATGAAATGACCCATATGGAAGTTCAAATTCGCAATAACACAAAGGAAATTATTCAGATGAACCTTAGCATTTCGTGCAAAGATGTTGCAGGAGAGAATTGCTTCGATGAAAATAGTGCAACTGTCCTCTGGGCTGGTGAGTTATCTTTATTTTTCCGTTCCATCACTATCTGGATTTATTTTTGGTTTTCTGAGGGCAGCAAATGATCAATGCTACAGAAGGCGTTTTGGACAAATGTTTTTTATTCCATGGTCTTTTCAAACCTTTAACAGGGAAAGTTATTCATTGAAGCAGTATTCAGCGTCCATGTCTGGTACACTACTCTTATGCGTTCTTTTTTCTGTGTAGGTGTTCTTAGCGATATACACCTGGAAGTTCCACCGTTGCAAGAGGTGATACATCCTTTTTCCATGTACTTCCTCGTACCGGGTGACTACTCGCTCCAAGCTGCTTCTGTTATAATCGACGCCACAGACGTTCTTCGTGCTCGCGCAAAGGCAGAGTCACCAAATGAACCTATACTGTGTCGAGGATCCCCGTTCCATATCCGGGTAGTCGGTACAGCATAGGCAGTTTCTTCTGAGTTAGTTTAGAGGCCTCATTTTGTACCGTGACAATTGTAGGTGTGAAAAATCTTGTACAAGAGTGTTCCCCCCTCATGCGATTTGTTTTTTTTAGCCTTTTGTAGGCTTCCTTGTAACAGTCATGTCATGGACAGTGTACAAGCATAGTGAGTATTGTTTCAAGCATCGAAATTGTATGTCGATGATTCGAACATCTTAATCTCTGGATGCCGGCTCATATGATTTTACTTAAAATTTACCGTCCCACGTAACACAAGCGTCAGGCACGCATCCGAGCCCCAGGCGCTCGAAATCTTGTTTGGTTACTATGGCCAGGCAGCTCGCTCAGCCGCAGGCGTAGGAAAATGAACGCCTGAGATCCTTGCCAGGCAACTTTTCCAGGTTACAAAGCAAACACGCCTGAGCACCAGAGAGAGTTGGCCAGTGGAGAACCAAACAGCCCCTTGGGTTTCACCGCTTGCTTCCGGCAACACCACTTTCAAGCTGCTGTCATCAGAGTTCATGCACTGCTACAAGGTAGCATGGAGCATGGATTTCATCTGAGGGGATTTTATTGCGGCATGATGCGGTCAGCCCAACACAACTAGCCTACTGGAATTCGGCAAAGCTGATAAAGCCATGATGGATGACAAAAGGTATCAAACGTATCACTACTGATCCAGAAAACATTTTGAGGGTCATATGCTGTTACTGAAATTAAAAGGTGCTAAGCAATCAGACACATGGTTATGGAATTTTCACGATTTCAAGCTCTGGATGTAATTCAAGTAGAATTCCGAGTACACATATAGTAGATACGAAAAAAAAAGGCTAGGCAGCATCAAAAAGTAAAACAAAGCTTTTTCAGGCTCTGGCCGATGCACTCATCATGATCTTAAGTGGTGGCAGTGAAAGCCTTCTTCACTGCTCCACTCTTTGAACCTGCGGGAATGACTTTGAGCACATTGAACCTTACAGTCTTTGACAGTGGCCTGAAATTAAAACAGTACAACATAAGTACATTTACAGAATAGAGCACAGTGCCAAAAGGGCCAAGATAGATATTTCATGTCAAACAGTAGGACGAATTATATTGAGCTTTGCCAATTGCATTTCAGAAACCATGCCATCCAGGTAACAACGTTACAAAAAGCAGGTCCAGGAATGATAAAGCAAGTTTTACCTGCACTGGCCAATGATCACATGATCTCCTTCCTTGACACGGAAGCATGGTGAAATGTGCGCAGGGATGTTGGAGTGCCTCTTCTCATACCTACACAAACACCAACAAATGGTCAGTTAGCAAACAGACAACATGAAGGCATGAGACCAATCAGCAAATTTGGGCCAATGATGAATATTAGCTTGCCTCTGGTACTTCTTGACAAAGTGAAGATAATTCCTACGAACAATGATGGTCCTATTCATCTTAGCACTGTGGCATGTTCCAGCGATGATGCGACCCCTGATAGACACAGTGCCAGTGAATGGGCATTTCTTATCAATGTAGGTTCCTGCAACAACAAAGAAATAAGGGAAATATAAATCACAACTGAATTAATAGAGCCCATCTAAAATCGAGCACCTAAAACAACCTATAAGGTTACCACAACTTTCTTGAAACAAAACTAGAATCACTTCATCACTGTCGAAATAAAAAATAAATGTGACAGCCTCAGCTATGCAAACAGAGAGATTCATCATCTAAAATTACTACAAATTGCATTAGCCTCAATATTCAGAGCATACACCCAACAAATGGACCATGGAGCATATGATAAGAGTTCACACTAGTAGTGATGTATAATAATATAATATAGTTTGGCATGAATAACATCAAATATACAAGGAAGACTTAGCCAGTATAAGCTTTTAAACATAGGAGGGTGAAAGCTTCCAGGTCACCACTGTGACTGTTCAAGAGAGACAAGCTTCCCTTTTAACATCGTCTTGCTATATGGGCAACATACTTAACCGTCTAATAAACTAGCTGATTTCCAAGTACTAATTGTAAGGGCGTCTCCAACGCCACGTGACGGAGTGAGATGCCAAAAAACCTTTGAGCTAGAGCATGAGAAGAGCTAGGCTGTTTTTGCACGCCCCAATGCAAGAAAGACTCCATCTCTCTTGCATAGGTGAAATGAGAATGTATAGAATAAAGAACACATTACATGTAACATGTGGGGACACATAGGATGCGAATATGCAATGGCATAAGAGCTAGCACTTGACTCCTACCATTGGAGATGCCCTAATAGCTATAGAAAGGGATCATAATTTATAACTTACTATTGAATTCAATTCCCAAGCTGCAAAGCTTAAATCTAATCATATTGCATTTTTCTGAAAGCCTTAATATAACTTATGTTTAAGATTTTGGATCAACCATAATCTAAGAATGGACTAAATGTAGTTCTGTCTAAGAGACATACAAGTTGAAACAGCCGGAATTGTTGAGCTGGTGAATCATTAACCTAGTTCGTAGTTTTGATCTAACAAGCCAACAGAAACGCCAGTGACTTGGCTGAACAAGAAAAGAAATACTGACCTTCAATGGCTTCCCTGGGTGTCTTGAAACCAAGGCCAATGTTCTTCCAGAATCTGTTTCCTCCCTTGCCAGGCTTGTTCCCCTTGGCAGCCTTCTTGGAACTGAATTCCAAAACAACTCATAAGTCTCGCATCCAAAAATGAATGAATGAAACAAAGGCGCGTCAGAAATAAGCGCTTGAATATTACCAGAGAAACACCTTGGGCTGCTTCAAGAAAGCCCTTTCCGTCTGCAGAGACAAAAGAGAAAAGATGTTTAGCACTGACAGTAATCAAATCCATCAGATCATATATCAAGATTGGAACCCAACCAACGTCTGGACTAGTGCAGATTCACGTAGTCCACACTCTTCATAGAATGATAACACAACCAAACCATTCGAATGGTGAAAGTTCAATTGCTACTTCTGCGTTTCCGACCAATAGCGTATAGGCTTAGAGCCACAAGGCTGCGTACTACACGGGTACTTCTACCAAACGATACGAGATCTGCCACAATCAAGCTCACCCAGTGGCCGAAACAAGGGGTTCCAAAGGCATCTGACCTGCTCCGCCATGGTCGCCGCGCTAAGGAGAGACGCCGGAACCCGGTGGAGCGACGCACTAGTCCGAAGCGGCGGCGGCGGCGGCGGCGGGAGCAGTGGAGACGAAGAAATGCCCAAGGCTTAAAACCCTAGACTCTTCTCTGCTTAAATGAATATAGGTGGGTCGGAGGTGGGCTGGACCTAATGGGCTTTTCTGAGTTCACCCTCGGGTGAAAAGGCAGTTGGGCCATGCTGGGCTGGCCTCTCAGTGAGAGGCCGATATCCGTGGCTGCTTTTCCGTCTTTGGGTGGGCTGGGCGCCTGGGTTGTACTTAGCGATCATGGTGGTGGTACTGACAGGTGACAAGGTCACGTCTCAGCGATGTCCACGTGAAGTGGACTCGATTGTGATTGTCTGTACGAGCGGTAGCTGCAGCCTAGGAGGTGTGGCCCAGCCTAGCGGCGAGATTCAAAGCGAGTTTTGACGAGGCCGACAGGATTCAAAGCGAAGTCAGGCATCCGCTTTTGCCGCCCCCTGGTGCGGTGCCCTTCCATCCACTTTCCAACCGAACCGTGCACCGCATCATCCATGCTCCCCGCACTCCCGGGAGTGGAAGGCAAAAGGCGGCGGCGATCCTTCGTCTCTCCCAGGCGCTGGAAAAGCAGGACAGCATCCGGGCGCGTGCGGGGTCGCCGTCGAAGGTGGCTTCCGCTTCGGCCACCCGGGGGCCGGGGCAGCGTCATGCATCCCCCGGCATCATCATGCGGCGGCAACCGGCGATAACTCAGGAACAACGGCAGGCCGCCGGGTCGTCGTCTTTCCGGCCCCTGCCTGCCTTTTGGGGTGTTACAGATCCATACTCACCGGGCACAACGCAGGCATTAGTAGAGGTGTTGGTTCGAGAAAAAAGTGACAGGCTACCTAGGCTCCAGAGCAACGAAACCAGCACCGGCAAAAACACATCATTGTCGAGTCTCACAAACTCATTTCGCTCATATAAGGTCATGTTCAATGCTACAAGGTACCCAGTATTATAGGTGATCAGAGTTACCTATAGAGACAGTAAAAGCTTGGTCCCACAAAAACGTGAAGCATCTGCTGGAGCGAATGATGTGGAGATGTGAGAGATAGAGGAACCTTATCACGGGGAGAAACAGACAAGTGATTTGGGGAGCGAAGAGCTGGTAGGATTGGTGGCCTATGCTAGGCAGATCATACACCTTAAACTTTGTCATCTGTACATGGCTAGCTACTTTTTTTGTGAGGCCAATAACTTTTTGCAGATGTGTTGGGCTTGCTTTAAAATGTAGCTATGGTTACGTTTAGAATGGCTTCTCTTCTCAACCGCTACCTATGAAAAAAAAATTGGCCAAAGCTTCTAACCCGGCTTCCACCCCTCGCGCTTCTTCTCAACACGCCGTTTTCACCTGAAATCAGAATCGGCCTCTAGCGAGCATTGGGGGAAATCCGACCAATTCCTCATCTAGCGCTCATGCCTCCTTCATCTTCCTCCTCTGCCAGTCTGCCCTGGTTGCTCCTTCCTATTCTTTGTCGGTTTGCCCGGCCACTCCTCCTTCCTCACCGGAGGCCGCTTCTCCCTCAGTGACTACGTCCGTGACGAGCGTACGTGACCGGATTTTGCGACCGTTCCTCCATGACGAGCACAACCTTTGACGGTCGCTCCTCCTCTTCGGCAGTGGCTCCTCCCTCCATGACCACGGTCGCGACGAGCGTGATTGGATCCGGCGACCATTCCTTCTTGGGACGAGCATGCCCTTCGGCGGCTGCTCCTTTCTCTGCGGCGAGCATGACTTGTGGTTGTCGCTCCTCTCCCCGGTCTCCCCGACGAGCACCGACCTCTCCGACTGTCACTCGTCCCTGTACAACCTCGAAGAGTCTGGTGGTGGCTCCTCCCTTCGTGACGAGCATGACATGCGACAGCCGCTACTCTCTTCGCGACGAGCATGAACCTCTCCGGCGGCCGCTCCTCTCTCTACAACCTCGAGGAGTCTGGCGGCTGCTCCTCCCTGCGTGAGGAGCGCACCCGAATCCGATGACCGTGAGCACTGGAGCTGGCCCACACGAGTTATCCCCGCCTCCAACTTCTCCATAGAAGCCAGCTCCCACGCAAACGTGATGTTTTTTGCCGCTTTGATTCTAATATAAGCTATATAAGCTAGCTTTGCGAGGAAGCCAGCTTTGACTCAAAGCGTGGTCCAGCAAAGCGGTTCTAAATAGGGCATATGTTTTCTACACACACTCTCGATTCATACACTAAGATCTCAACCTTTGTCCTCACATAACGGGTATTTGATTGAGAACTTTCTACTCTATGTTACACAAAGCACTGGGTTTCTGCAAGCTAATTTGACACCCTAGGAAACCACCTGTTAGGGTGATTTGGATGTTCAAGGCAAGCATGGAGCATTGGGCCTGCCCTAACATGTGCGCTGATAGAGTGATATGTACTGGATGAGATTTTTAGTATTAGACATCAATGTCATACTCCTATATATATGCGCGCGATCGGCAATGTTTTAGTTACCTACTTCGTACTTACCTGAAGTGAATCAACCCTGCTATTTGAATGGTTATATTATATGCATGAGTGGTTGTGATGCTGGTTCTGTAGTTGCAGCAGAATTATTCAATCACGTGATCATGACTGATGATTGATGAACCGTATTACTAACTCTATCAAAAAAAAATGCAACTACGTGTTGCACGTAAGTTAGAGTGGCACCAAGTTTTATGTGAATAGTATTGACATTTATGGCTACAAAATCAATTTATTATAAAGGGGCTCTTGCGTTTGTACACTTGTTTTATTCCGAAATTATGATTTTACCTCTATTTTTTTACTTTGTGAATTTACCCCTACTGTGCCATTCACGAAACACCAGTTTACCCCTGCTCCGTCATCCACCCCTAACGGTGTTAAACTTTGTACAAAAGGACATGAATGTCCATGCGATTTTGCCCCTATTTGTTATGCCTAATCGTGATTTTACCCTGATTTGGAATTATACTTTTTTATTGTATGCTGACAATTGATTAAATTTGGTCAAACATATTTGGCACAACTTGCAATTATTTGAACTCAGATTTAATATTGATAAATATTCAAAATTTTGGGACCAAAAGGTTCATAATGATGACAGATGTAACGCCATAAGAAATATTTCGATATAATCTTTTGTGTGGGACCAAAAATCTTCAATGTATAAGAATGCATGTAGAACATCGGTTAACAAACTGTATAAGTAGATGCATGCACTGATAACCTTAGTGCCTTACCACATAGGAATGTCATCCAGTACATGTTTTTTAGCAAAAGTAACCGCCATACAAGATGGTTCATGTAACACTACAAGCACTAAAACTACAACATGTATTTACTAACCAAATTGAAAAAGAGAATGACATGAATAAAAAGACAATTGTGAATCATCATGATCGACCATAGCAGCATTTACTACAGAAACGCGATGGCTCCGGGTCGTAGGCAGCACCAGCACGACCGCCGAGTCGGCGGCGCCATCCGAACACGACGCCTCCACCTTCCTCTACTTCTGCGGTATTGGAAATGAGTGTGGTTGAAAAGTGTACGCCCTAGAAAAATATTGAGCACCATGAAACTTACCCATCGAGATAGGAAATGGTCGTACATGGTCAAAAGGCCAAGTCTAAACACGGGTTCTGTTGCATAAACTGGTGCAGAGAGCCCAAGATGTTTCATAGCATAAGGCAAAGCTCCTAGATGCATCATGTCAGGATGTGACAAAAGAACAGCATCTACAGTTGGTGCAACCCTGAAAAATATACAGTATCTATTAGTGTAAGTGAAAACTAACAATCAATTTGCTTCGACGATAAATAGCATATTGACACCAATGACATGTGCGCATCTGCAGTGATGGAAAGTATCTCCTTTACTCAACTGTTGAGTGTAGATTTTGGAAAGAAAAATGGAGTACATCCTTGCATCTATAAGATGTGTAAATACAACAAACGACAGGAAAATGAATGGTGAAACGATTATTCAGTGGGGAGGCAATGCACTGCGATTGGCATGGTGTTACACAAGGAGGCCAAAGTTTGGACAGAAGGAGCTACATGGTTTTATAGCGTCCTCTTACAAGAAACAACAGATATGAGCAAGAGTGTCAATTACACTAGTGTCGGGGACCTAATACTAGGGTACCCCAGAAGGTGGAACCAATAACCATCGAACGTTAAAAACTTCAGGACGAAGGAGGGCGCCGCTGCGTTCCTTGCCCAAATGACGAAAGTTAAGTTCCGTCTCGCCCGACGCCTTTGGGCCAGCCCTGCCTCGCCCGAGGGCAAAGGGCTGGCCTCCGTTCCGCCCGACGCCTTATGGACAGCTCCGCCTCGCCCGAGGGTTGAGGGATACACTCCGCCTCGCCCGACCCCCGAGGGGTGGGCTCGGTCACGCCGAGGGCAAAGGGCTGGCCTCCGTTCCTCCCGATGCCTTCGGGATAGCTCCGCCTCGCCCGAGGGCTGAAGGCTAGTCTCCGCCTCGTCCGAGGGTTGAGGGATACACTCTACCTCGCCCGACCCCCGAGGGGTGGGCTCGGTCACGCCCAGGGGATAAGGATTGGGCTCCGCCTCGCCCGACGACCGAGGACGAACCTCGCCCCGTTCGATGTCCAAAGACTGGTTTCATCTTACCTGATAACTTCTCTCCCGTTCCCTCATGATGATGGGTACAGAGCAAGACGTTCGGGTCAACCACGACTTCAAGGACCATACCCTACGCCCCAGCAGGAAAGGTACTGCCAGGGAACGACTGGACAGGTGCTTTAAACCCTTCCGAGCGCCACAGAGCCCAAAATGTATTGCAGGCGCGTACTCCTCGCCCCATAGAGTTGTAGGCGCGCCTTCAGCTTTGGGACACGGAACCCGATGAATATACACGACAACCACTACACTCCAGAAAAGGATTTGTGATCTCCACGAATGATGGACATGCCGTCACCACGTTATGGACCCAAGGGAGCGGCACCCGCTTC